TTTTTGGATGGGTTTGGGGTTTAGGGTGTAGGCCTTCCCAGCAGAGGTATGGTTGGGGCTCATGGAGAGAAGAGCACGAGCCAACTCCAGCATCTTGTGGTGCAGGGTCCCGGTTCGCTGCTGGATTCACAGCGCGCGCCCGAAGCCGATAAATCTATAAATCTTAAATCCTAGAGCCTGAAAGGTACCTCCGAATCAAGCGGGCACGTGTCCCCCTCGCGGCGATTGCAGTGAGCATGGAACGTCTCATGCTGGTGTGGCCTCCAGTTTGCTTTAGGGTTTTGGGTCTACGGTTTAGGTTTCTAGACAGACAGGGTTTAGGGTTCAGGACTTAGGATTTAGAATTCGTCCGACCGGCTGAAGTGGAGCAGTCTGCATGCAAGGTGCGTGCGCAGGCCCCGAGTGCATCATGCCTCGAATCCCAAACTTCGGATACAGTCACAGTCAAGGAACGCTGGCTTGAACCCTATGTTCAAACTGCGCATTAAACTTGCAAATCCTGTACTCAAACTCGAAACGTGCACGCCTCAGATTTGGCACGGAAGTCTGCTTGTCGGTTATCCTGAGAGGAAGCCACCTCTCTCTGAGCACAAAAGCCTAAACCCCAGGCCCCCCCCCAAAAAAAAAAACAACCTAAACCCTAAACCCTAAACCCTAAACCCTGAGCGCTGAACTGCTTGCATTCCCGAGGCGGACGACCCCTCCTTCGAGCTCTCCGTGTTTCTGCAGGTGGATCCAGACCGGTGGGTGTACGTTTCAAGCCACTCTAGTTTAGGGTTTAGGGTTTAGGGGTTTAGGCTTTAGGGTTTAGGGTTTAGGGCTAACGGTAGAGATCGAACTTTAGATTTTCGGATTTGGTGGGGGCTTGAGGTTCAGCTGTTTGGGATGAATGAAGTTGCAGTTCTCCCAAACATGGCTTCCAGGAGCTGCTGCGACGAACCTAGGGGCCTAAAGTAAATGCCGATACTACGGTTTAGGGTTTAGGATTTAGGATTAGGGTTTAGGTTCCTTATCATAACTGTAGTATGATGTACCCCAAAGCCCTGTTCTTAGTGTTCAGGCCCCTATATTATGTACAAGAGCCGGCTCTGCGGAAGCTTCGAGATTGAAGCACGGATCCCTGAGAGCCAGAACCCTGAACCCAACCTGAGCCCTAAACCCTGAACCCTAAACATAAACCCTGAGCCCTAAACATAAACCCTGAGCCCTAAAACCCTGAACCCTCAACATCAACCCTGAACCCTAAACCCTGAACCCTCAACATCAACCCTGAACCCTAAACCCTGAACCCGAAACATGAACCCTGAACCCTAAAGGCTAAGCTACCTTCAACTTTCGTACAGGTGGCAGTGCTGAAACTCAGAGTCTCTCATGCCGACGTTGAAGGGCGATGGTCTCAAACAGGGGATCTCGTTAACAAAGGGGCCTTAAGAAGTAGAACAGGGTTCCCTCTAGGGTCCTTTTAAAGGGTTACTACAAGGGTTTCTAGAATAAGGGTTTAGGGTAGGGACCTTAATAATTAGAATAATTAGAATA